TAGGATCATGTCATCTGCAAATAGGGATATTTTGACAGTTTCTTTACCTATTTGTATTCCTTTTATTCCTTCTTCTTGCCTAATTGCTCTGGCTAGGAATTCCAGTACTATGTTGAATAGGAGTGGAGATAGTGGGCATCCTTGTCTGGTTCCTGATTTTAGAGGGAATGGTTTCAGTTTTTCTCCGTTAAGTATAATGCTGGCTGTAGGTTTGTCATATATAGCTTTTATAATGTTGAGGAACTTTCCTTCTATTCCTAGTTTTCTTAGAGCTTTTATCATGAAATGATGTTGGATCTTATCAAAGGCTTTTTCTGCATCTATTGAGATGATCAAGTGGTTTTTGTCTTTGCTTCTGTTAATGTGGTTTATTACGTTTATTGATTTTCGTATGTTGAACCACCCCTGCATCCCTGGGATGAAGCCTACTTGGTCGTGGTGAATAATCTTTTTGATGTGTTGCTGAATTCGGTTTGCCATTATTTTGTTGAGGATTTTTGCATCAATGTTCATTAAGGAGATTGGCCTATAGTTCTCCTTTTTGGAGGTGTCTTTGCCTGGTTTTGGGATAAGTGTAATACTGGCTTCATAAAATGTGTTTGGCAGTTTTCCTTCCCTTTCTATTTCATGGAACAGTTTAAGGAGGGTTGGTATCAGTTCTTCTTTAAAGGTCTGATAGAATTCAGCAGAGAATCCATCAGGTCCTGGACTTTTCTTTTTGGGGAGACTCTTGATTGCTGCTTCAATTTCATTTTGTGTTATAGTCTATTCAGGTGATTAATTTCCTCTTGGTTCAGTTTTGGATGATCATATGTATCTAGAAATCTGTCCATTTCTTTAGATTTTCAAATTTATTTGAATATAGGTTCTCAAAGTAGTCTCTGATGATTTCCTGGACTTCCATGGTGTTTGTTGTTATCTCCCCTTTTGCATTCCTGATTCTACTAATTTGGGTTTTTTCTCTCCTCATTTTAGTCAGGTTTGCCAGGGGTCTATCGATCTTGTTTATTTTTTCAAAGAACCAACTTTTTGTTTCATTAATTCTTTGTATGGTTTTTTTGGTTTCTATTTCGTTGATTTCAGCTCTTATTTTTATTATTTCTCTCCTTCTATTTGTTTTGGGATTTGCTTGTTCTTGTTTTTCTAGGAGTTTGAGATGTATCATTAGGTCATTGATTTGGGATCTTTCAGTCTTTTTAATATATGCACTCATGGCTATAAACTTTCCTCTCAGGACTGCCTTAGCTGTGTCCCATAGGTTCCGGTAGGTTGTGTTTTCATTTTCATTGACTTCCAGGAACTTTTTAATTTCCTCTTTTATTGCATCGATGATCCATTCTTCATTAAGTAATGAGTTATTTAGTTTCCAGCTGTTTGCATGTTTTTTGTCTTTACTTTTGTTGTTGAGTTCTACTTTTACTGCATTGTGTCAGATAGTATGCATGGTATTATTTCTATTTTCTTATATTTGCTGAGGCTTGCTTTGTGCCCTAGGATATGATCTATTTTGGAGAAGGTTCCATGGGCTGCTGAGAAGAATGTATATTGTGTAGAGTTGGATGAAATGTTCTGTAGACATCTACTAGGTCCATTTGATCTATTGCATATTTTAGATCTTGGATTTCTTTATTGATTTTTGTTTGGATGACCTATCTATTGATGATAATGGTGTTAAAGTCTCCCACAACCACTGTGTTGGCGTTTATATATGCTTTTAGGTCTTTCAGGGTATGTTTGATGAAATTGGGTGCGTTGACATTGGGTGCATAAAGGTTGATGATTATTATTTCCTTTTGGTCTATTTCCCCTTTTATTAGTATGGAATGTCCTTCTTTATCTCGTTTGATCAATGTAGGTTTGAAGTCTACTTTGTCAGAGATAAGTATTGCTACTCCTGCTGTTTTCGGGGCCATTGGCTTGGTAAATCTTCTTCCAGCCTTTCATCCTAAGCCTATGCTTATTTCTGTCGGTGAGATGGGTCTCCTGTAAGCAACAAATTGTTGGATCTTCCTTTTTAATCCATTTCGTCAAATGGTGTCTTTTGATGGGTGAATTAAGTCCATTAACATTAAGTGTTAGTACTGATAGGTATGTGGTGATTCCTGTCATTTAGTTGTCTTAGTTGTTTGAAGGTTTGATTGTGTGTACCTAAGTTGATGTTACTCTCTACTGTCTTGCTTTTTCTTTCCTGTGGTTTGGTGCTGCCTGCCTTTTCATGGTTAAGTTGGGTTCACTTTCTGTGTGCAGATCCCTTGCAGAATCTTTTGTAATGGTGGCTTTGTGGTCACATATTGTTTTAGTTTCTGCTTATCATGGAAGACTTTTATTGCTCCATCTATTTTGAATGATAGTTTGCTGGGTAGAGTATCCTGGGGTTGAAGTTATTTTCATTCAGTGCCCGGAAGATCTCACCCCACGCTCTTCTTGCTTTTAATGTTTCTGTTGAGAAGTCTGCTGTGATTTTGATGGGTTTACCTTTGTATGTTACTTGTTTTTTCTCTCTTACAGCCTTCAATATTCTTTCCTTAGTTTCTGAACTTGTTGTTTTAATGATGATATGTCGTGGAGTAGTTCTATTTTGATCTGGTCTGTTTGGTGTCCTGGAGGCCTCTTGCATTGTATGGGAATATCTTTCTCTAGATTTGGGAAATTTTCCGTTATTATTTTGTTGAATATATTACGCATTCCCTTCGCTTGCACCTCTTCTCCTTCTTCGATGCCCATGATTCTCAAGTTTGGTCTTTTGATGGAGTCAGTGAGTTCTTGCATTTTCTTTTCACAGGTCTTGAGTTGTTTAATTAATAGTTCTTCAGTTTTTCCTTTAATTACCATTTCATCTTCAAGTTCTGAGATTCTGTCTTCTGTTTGTTCTATTCTGCTGGATTGGCCTTCCGTTTTGTTTTGCAGTTCTGTTTCGTTCTTTTTTCTGAGGTTTTCCATATCCTGGCTGTTTTCTCTTTATGTTGTCTATTTTTGTCCTGAGTTCATTTATCCATTTATTCATTGTGTTCTCTCTTTCACTTTGGTGTTTATACAGTGCTTCTATGGTTTCCTTTATTTCTTCTTTTGCTTTTTCAAATTCTCTATTTTTATTGTCTTGGAATTTCTTGAGTGTCTCCTGTACATTTTGGTTGACCCTATCCAGTATCATCTCTATAAAATTCTCATTGAGTACTTGTAGTATGTCTTCTTTTAAATTATTCTTGTGGGCTTCATTGGGTCCTTTGGCATAGTTTATCTTCATTTTGTTGGAGTCTGGATCTGAGTTTCTGTTCTCTTCATTCCCCTCTGGTTCCTGTACTAATTTTTTGCTGTGGGGAAACTGGTTTCCTGTTTTTTCTGTCTTCCGTCATTGTCCTTGGTGTTGTTACTGTCCCTGTACTGTGTGTAATTAAGTATTTTCTAGCTTGTAATAATAACAATGGTAATATTTAGAATGGAAGAGGGAGCTGAGATGGAAAGCAAGAAGTTAAAGAAAAGGGGAAAAAAATATACAGACAAGAGGGAGAAAGCAGAACAAGGTATCAGACAAGAGAGTTTCAAAGGTATAAACAGGGAGTGTTAGTGTACTAATCGACAGTAAGCTGAACAGACATAGAGAGACAGAGAGAGGATTGAAAATCAAAGATAAAAAAATAAAAAATAAGTATATGAAAGTAATATCTATATATAAAAATGAATTAAAATAAAATGGAAAATAGAAAATTAAAAAAAAAACCAAAAAACTTCCAAGTTTATATGCAATGCAGTTTCAGTCTTAATAATTTGGATGTCCGTCTCAATCTCCAGTCCTGGAGTTGGTGCCTCAGATGTTGTTCTGTAGTTGTCTCATCAAAGGGGATGCATAAAGTAGAACAAAACTACACACTCACACACACAGAAAAAAAAAAAAAGCCCCACCAAGTGTCCCCAGTTCAAATGCAATACAGTTTCAGTAAGTTTTTCGGCTTGCAGGTGTAATTCGGTTGTTCTCTCATCAAAGGTAGGGAGAAAAAGAAAAAAAAGCGTCTGGAGCAGTTCTGAGAGTGGTATCTGCAACTGTGGCTTGCCTGCCTGCTGCTCTCAGCCTGTAGCTGGGGCTTATTTATGCAGATCTCTGGGGTGAGCTTAGCACTCACCTGGTCCCACAGGCTTTGTTTGCTCAGAGTTCTCCTGTGCGGGGGCCTCTGCTACAGGCTTTCCCCTTTCCAAGCACTGGGAAAGGTGACACTGCCCCGCGTTGTCAGGCCTGTGTGTTTATTTACAGTTCACATGGGAAGTGGGTCTTCCCTCCTCTCACAAGTGTCCCCGCTCCTGGTTGCTGGGTGCGCCCTGCTCCTGCCAGAGCCTCTCCGGCCTGCCCAGCTTGTTTATTTACAGTCCCGGGAAGGATTCCCTTCCCCCAATCTTCAGCGCTCAGGGTGCCCCACCCTCTTTCCAGCGTGTCTTAACTGTTCTTATTGCTTAGTACTCAGTTTCTCTTTTTTTCCCGGGTGGAGGTCAGTCTGTCCAGGGGGCTATGCTGCTCTGGCCCAGGCTTGTCTGTGGGGCTACCGCGGTACCGCGAAGCTCACCTGGTCTGCGTCTTCCCAAGCCGTATGGGCGCCGGCCACTGGTGGCCCTGGGGGCCCTCCTCGGTTCTCCGTTTAACGTGAAGTGGAGATTCTCTGCGCCCAGCTGAGTCTCTTCCTAGGTCAGGTCCAAGGCTAAGGAACAGAGAAGAGCAGTTCAATGGAACTTAAACCTAACTTTTTTTAAATCAATTAATAAAGTTCATGATATTAACACATAAAATGTATAAGTAGTAAATGCTGTAACTTCTCAAGAAACAAAATAGAAGCTCTTCTTTAGTCCAACCATGTTTTCATCATATCTGAAACATCTAAACCAATTTTTAGATCATGGTAATTAGAATAACATTGCTTAGAAGTTTTCTGCCACACATAAACATTAAGCAACAGTTTTCCTACAACAAGCCAATTTTAACAAATATTTAGATCAAATAAAAAAATACAGGGATTTTTAGTGTCCTTTTATCTTTTTTTAAAGCACAAATGCCCACACAACTTTAACTTACAAGGTAGTTCTATATAGAATAAGTGAAGATGTTAGTGAAATTTGTGTGACTATGTACAATTAAAGGTGATTTACAGGGTACATCATTATGCTTCGCACATCAGATGACAATGATAGATGAGGTCATCAGAAGAAAGTGTAATGCAGACATGTCCACTCATTTGTAAAAGGCTGAGAAGTCTCCCTGGAGTTTATGCAGGTGACTTTTACTTGTTATTGCACAGTGTGGATTTGTAGGGGAAAAAATAATACACTAACGCTTGGGTCCCATACAGGCAAATTAAGATTGCATTCTTCAGGCTGTTTCAATAGCACTGGATTTGGCCATTCCCATTTAGAAAACACCAAGAAAAATTTATGTACAAGAATTGATGTTATTGCATTTGGATAAAGCTGGCAAGTTCTTGCTACTAGCATAGCCCAGGAAACACCACGGAGGAAACCTAACATATTGGAATAGATGTTGTGCTGTTTGGCCCACAGTTTGATAGCTCTCAGAGTTAACCTGAAGTTGTCAATGTTTGGTGCTAGATGTAAAATTTCATCGGTTACCCTGCAACCATTAAGACTTCTTATACATCTTTTATCTAAATTTTTACGCAGACTGTCATTCCGTAGGTCCAAATCTTCTGGAATAGTCTGCAGTGCCAATCTTGCAAACAAAATATCAGTCTCTATCCCATCAAAACAGAGTTTGATAACTGGCACAAATGCCTCTTCAACAGCTCTTAAATCTTTTACTTCTTCCTATAATTTCAACTTATCATAGAATGAGGTGAAAAAGTCACTTCGATCAACATGTCTTGGTGCAACACACAACGCATCAATATCAGCACCTTTTGTATGTACTCCTAGTCTGTAAGACCCATATGTAAAAAGTTTTCCTCCAACATTTTCAATTACAGATTGTGGAAGATTAACGGCATCGTCTCCTTCACCAGCACCGCCCAGTCACTCCCCCCACCCCCACCGCCCCCGGGAGGGAGCAGGGGCCTGCCTCAGCCCTGGGTCCAACCCTACTCCTGCACCTGCTCCTGCCACTTTAAGCTCTTCTCCTCCTTCCCCTTCGTCCTAACATCTTGAATTTATCCTTTATTGGGAATTTGTAGAGCAATGAGAGGATTAGGATTTACTTTTCCTATGGTCATCTGTTCATTTACACTGTCTGAACAGAATTCCTCCTATGTTTCTATTTTTTTTATGGTTCTTAGACAACAAAGAGCTTAAAAACATGCTATTGTCAAGAACTCTGGTAGGTGGGAATGTGATCACAGGAGATGTTTTTAAGTTAAATCTTTATTGATTGCCTGTCATATGTGTTTTTTTGTGTACTGTGTACACCACATGAGTTCTGAGCAGGACAGACGTAGCTATCTCTTTCAGAACTCTTACTGTCTTGTTGTTGACAGAATATGTTCAACTTGATTCCAGAATAGTACATTAAACATTCTCATTCCATTGATCATAATGCAAACCAAAGACTTTATACTTTGAGAAGCCCTTTGCTGGGAAGAAGGAAGAGAGAGATGAAGAGAAGTTATGACAGGAGAGGAGGTGTTGGACAGAACTGTGAAGTTTCTGTGCTTTGCTTGGCATGCAGGTTGTCCTTGACCTTGCCCTTTCTCTTATCACATCTTCTACTGTATTGCAAATCATTTGAAATGACTCACAAGGCCTAAGTCAAAGTCCCCTCTCTATCACGTGTCTGCTCTTTAGCTTAGACAGAAACACAAAATGTCATGAGCCTCAGATTTCTAATCTGTAGAAGGTTGTGTAGTAATTATAGCTGCATTGCTACCTTGCCAGGGTGATATGAGAATCAAACAAGACAGGTCTCTGTAGCGTTAAGGGCATTATTACTTGGGAGTAATTTGAGGTGCCTTTCTGGAAGAAGTGCTGAGGAACATCCACTGCCACAGGGAATCTATAAGGAGCAGTGGTGGTGGTGGTTGTAGGGGATCTGAATCCTTTGCCTTTGCTCTTTCTGTTGTTCTAATCCAAGCAAAGCATCTGATGAGGTCATCATTTCTCTTTTCTGTGAGATTCAGACAGGAAGTCACACTCCCCTCAGCTATTACCCAAGATACTTGCTTCTGACCTTCAAGTTGAAGGAGGTAGCAGGTTAGACTAGGAGAGGTATCTGTGTTAAAGCTGCTGTGTAGTGTCTGGGAAAGGCTGCTGTGCAATGTCTGGGAAAGTCATTAAAGACTCTTCTCTCTGTTCTTTCTACAGGTTGGTGAATTCAGGCCTTACATCGATTTGTTGTTCAGCTCTGTCTTCTGCACTCAAAACTAACCAGAATCTCACACATCTTTACCTACGAGGCAATGCACTTGGAGACATGGGGCTTAAGCAACTCTGTGAGGGACTCTTGCACCCTGGCTGCAAGCTTCAGATGTTGGAGTTAGTACCTTGGCTTATTGAAGGGATGCGGATATATAGTGGTGGAGAGTGATCATAGAATAATTCCTATCTGAGAAGTGAGGTGTCCTTAGAGTTTATCTCAGTGCAGGATCATGAAACTGGAGGAGCTTTGTAGATGTAAATGTGACTTTCTGTCACCACAATCCCCTGTATCACAAACAAACAGGGATGGTATGGCATTTGCTTTTTATGGAAATTTTGGGAAAAGCATAGAATTTTAGAAAAGTTAATTAACAAACTTCTGTTATTAATTTGATCTGCACAATCCAATACTGGGAAAAGGCACTCACATCTGAAGGGAGAGAAAAAGGGCTATTGGCAATAAAGCTGCCTCAAGCTAGTCAATCCCATATTTTTTTCTGTGTTCAAAACAGTACAGGGTAAGATCTTAGGGAACTGGAGGGTGGTTAAAAGGGCACTTTCTTTAAATAACATCTTTCTTGCAGGTTAGACAACTGCAGTCTCACCTCACACTGCTGCTGGGATCTTTCCACAATTCTGACCTCCAACCAAAGCTTGCGAAAACTGAGCCTAGGCAATAATGACCTTGGTGATCTGGGTGTCATGATGCTCTGTGAGGTCCTGAAACAGCAGGGCTGCCTCCTGCAAAACCTGCAGTAAGTGAGATCTGCAGAGATTCCTGTGATTTGGTCAGAGTCCTAAGGAAAAGTTGACTGGTTTCAACATCTGGAGTTCCCCTACATCTTTTTTAGGGTTAGGTGGGCTTGTGCCAGTTATTGCAGAATTTTTAATAGGACAAATGGAAATTGAGATATGTAGTCAACAGCATCCAGATATTTAGAATAATCAAGATTAAGGTGGGTAAGAAAAGACTTTCCATCTACAGTCCCCAAAGAAAAGCAAGTCCAAATGAGAGTGGCCAAATAAGATTTTGTTTCTTTGAAAGGGATTAATTGTACTTTGTAGAACTAGTCTATGGTTCATCCTGACTGCAAAGGGCTTTATATAGTGGGGATGTTGTTCTTGTTTATAAGAATTTCTAAATAGAAAAAGAATGCTCCAGAAACACTGAGAGTAGAAATTCTGTGAGATTCAGCAAAAGGAAACTTCGGCTCCATTTGCCTTCAGCTGTCCTACCAAAGCAGCTATTGCCTCTCTAGTAAGAGCTTCCTAGTGAGTCTTATGGGTTCTTTCAGTCATAACAAAATAGTCTAGGGAATTTTTGGATGTAATCAACCTGTTTTTGTCAGGTTGCTATAGCAAAGCAGTATAGATGAGGTGTTTTTAACAATAAGAATTAATTTTCTCATAGCTGAAGTCCAAAGTCAAGGTTTCAGTGGATTCAGTTGCTGGTGAGGGCTCTCTTGTTCACTGTATGCTCACATTAGCCAGGGTGGAGCGACGTGGGGAGAGAACATGCTCTCTGGTGTCTTTCTTATTAGACACTAATCCCATCATAAGGCCTCACTCTTTTTTTTTAATTTAATTTTTTAATGTAAGATATATTTGCTGTACAGGGGGAATCCATAGTGATGATTCCAAATAGGCTTATATAGTACATTGGTTAGATCACCCCCCACTGTCTCTTCCTCTCACCCCCTTCTCATCCCCACTTAAAGCAGTTGCAAAAGAGGTTTCTTTGTTTTATTTCTTATAAGTATATTAAGTCTATCTACCATATAATCTCACCTTAATCTTCTCACTCACCCTCTCTCCTCCCATAAGTATGCTTCCACCACACTGTACCTATTTTACAGTGTCCTGTCTTCTGTTATTAATATTAAGTCAATGTTCAAAGGGGCTTCTCAATGTGTCCCTACTGTGAGTATACTTTAGTCCACTCAACCCCTTCCATTACTCTCCCTTACCCCTTTACCTCCCACCTCTCATTTTTCCATACATGTCCTTATATCCTCTACGTCCACAAATGTTGTGATTTATGATATTGTTGACACTCTATCATTCTCTTTTCCTTTCCCTTTTTCCTGAGTTCCACAGAGTAGTTCCGCTATTACAAACATGTTCTACCTATAATTTTGTATATAATTATGCTTGTTTTTGTGTATATGTGTATCTTTTGGATCTATCTTCCATGTATGAGAAAATATGTGGCCTTTGTGTTTCCGAGCCTGGCTTACTCCACTTAATATCGTGTCCTCCAATTATATCCGTTTACCTTCAAACAACATGTTGTTATTTCTTACAGCTAAGAAAAACTCCATTATGTATATATACCACAATTTCTTGATTAATTCATCAGTTGTAGGGTATCTGAGTTGTTTCCATAGCTTGGCTATGGCAAATAGTGTTGTGATGAACATTGGTGTTCAGGTGTCTCTATTGTATCCTGTCTTATGTTCCTTTGGGTAGATGCCCAGGAGTGGTATCACTGGATCATATGGCAATTCTGAGTTATCTCCATACTGCTTTCCATGATGATTGTACTAATTTGCATCCCACCAATAGTGTAGAAGGGTTCTTGTTTCACCTTATGCTTGCCAGCATTTGTTGAGTATGACCATTCTAACTGGGGTGAGATGAAATCTTAGTGTAGTTTTGATTTGCACCTCTTTTATAGCCATGTATTTTCTGGCCATGTGTACCTCTTCTTTTGAGAATTCACTGCTTAATTCATGTACCCATTTCTTCATTGGGATATTGATTCTTTGGGTATTGGGCTTTTTGAGTTCCCTGTGGATTCTGGATGTTAGTTTCTTATCAGATGAGTAGCTGGCAAAGATTTTCTCCCATTCTGTGGGCAGTTTCTTGAGTCTAGTGACTGTTTCTTTTGCTTTGCAGAAGCTCTTTAGTTTGATGCAGTCCCATTTGTTCATTCTTTCTCTTAGCTGTTGAGCCTTTTGAGTTCTACTTAGGAAGTCTTTCCCTATCCCTATCTGATACAGTATATTTCCTACTACTTTCTGTAGTGATTTCAAAGTTTCAGGCCTTATATTAAGGTCTTTGATCCACTTTGAGTTGATTTTGGTACAGAGGGAGAGACAAAGGATCTAGTTTCAGTGTTATATAAGTGGATATCTACTTATGTGGCTTATTTTGTTTAACATGATGACATAATTTCATTCTTCTTTATAAAGTGAGTAATACTCCATTGTGTATAAATATCACATTTTTTTCCTAGGTGTTCATGGTGAACATCTAGGTTGATTCCATATTTTGGCTATTATGAATAGTGCTGCTATAAACAGGTATCTCGACCTTATGTTGACTTACATTGCTTCAGTGGTATAGCAGGATAATCATATCTAGTTATATTTTAAAAAGCCTTCTTCATTTAGTGTCACACCGTGATGTATTTATAGCATGAAATACTGTGTTTAAGGCTGTGTTTAATGGACACATGGGATTCATTATGCCATTCTCTTTACTTTTACTTATATTTGAAATTTCCAAACATGAAGGTTCAAAATATAACAAGCCAGGTATGGCAACATGGACCTAAGCCACAGCTGCTTGGGAGGTTGAGGCAAAAAAATTGCTTGAGCCTAGAAGTTGAAGCTTAGTCTGGGTAATATAGCAAGAGCCCATTTAGAAAACATGCAGAAACCACATTGAACATAAAACTTAGCATTTCTGACCTTAAGGTTGTGTGTATAAAGGAAATGGGGAGGAAGATTTTTAAGACCTAAAACTGTTTTCTGAAGAGTACAACCCAAGGCTTTCTATTTGCTTTTACAGGTTGTGTGAAATGTATTTCAATTATGAGACAAAATGTGCCTTAGAAGCACTTCAGGAAGAAAAACCCGAGTTGACCATTGTCTTTGAGCCTTCTTGGTAAGGATGGAAACAAGATTGCCAGATGCTGATGTTTGTTGGATACCACCATCCAGGTGCACGCAGGTGCAGTGAGCACCCTCCATGGAGCAAAACCACAGCTCTGCAATTCTTCTGGTCCAGTGCCAGAGCACAAAGACTTGCTTATCATGCCCTCATGGTGGAGATTTAAGCATCACCTTGACCTCTGGATGAAGACATCAGGGACAGAAAATCATCCAGATGATGTTGTTCTCATGCAGTGCCTTCGCTGGAGGATGCTCTCTTTTGATGACCTCATGTAGTTAACTCATTCAATAAAACAACTCTTCTTACTTTCTTTCTAACTTTCCTTTCTGTACCTTTTCCCCTTCTTTGTTCTGTACACTTTTCTCATATCATCATTTCTGCTGGGTTTCCATTAACTGACCATAATACAGAACTAGTTGACTGTATGTTATGTGGCGATTTTGTGGCAGCTACTTATTTATTTTAAATTTTTGTGACAATTATATTTTCTAATAAAAAGAATTTATGCTTATTTTAGTTATTTGAAAATTTGGCAATATGCAAAAGCTCTTATATTTATTAAGTTAAACTATTTTCTTATTTAAAAAAGTGTCTAGAAATCTTTAAAATTATTTACTTAAAATATAAAGACAAATTGCTTTATGCATTTAAAAAATCTCTTTGCAAAATGATTCAATTGTGCTAAATGGGAAAAAAAATCATCTTACCCTACCTCTGATGGGTAGATTTTCAGCTCTAGCAGTACAGAGAGTGACGCCATGCAGAGGAAGGTTGTAGAATAACCTACACCCACAAATAGAAGTATTGTGTGGAAAATGCATCTTGCTTTTGGTTGATAGTAATTTATCCTGGGGGCTGGGAAGTGGCTGAACTGGTAGAGTGCCAGCCTAGAAAGGGTAAGGCCCTGAGTTCAAACACCAGTACCACCAAAAAAATGCATAATTTATTTTGGACTAACCCGTCTGAAGAATAGTTCGTTGACTATGCTTCACATAGCATTAAGTCATGAGCAAATTATTGGGTGATTGCTTCAGTATACGTGGATAACTTTTGAAGCAAATGGCATTACTTTGATGGAAATATTCCTACTTCTGTCCAGTAAACCATTTTGACCTTTAATATGCAAAGTGTGGCCTATGAGCTGTTGACATAAGGAACATGTGCAAGAATGTAAAATAATTACATTACTAAAAATGCTTTTTAGATAAGCTGGCTTTTTAAAAACTAGTAAGACTATTTTAATAAAGGAAACTATGTGATTTATATTTCAGTGCATACTCTTTTTTCCATTCTGGGATTGTGTATGTGTGTGATGCTGTGGATCTCAACCACTGAGCTACATCTCCAGCTCCAGCCCAGGTCTAGTATCTATCTATGTATGCCCTTTCTGCATCATGGTGAAGTTCTCTATTGCAGATTACTTCCCTGCTACAAAACCTGAACAAAATAATGTAATTAAAGATACATGGATGGAATTGGAGCACATTATAGTAAGTTAAATAAGCCAGGCACAGAAAGACAAATACCTTATGTTATCGTATATATGTGGAAACTAAAATGGTTGATTTTATAGAAGTTGAAAGTAGAATAGTAGTCATTGGAGGTTGGGAATAGGAGGAGGTGATGGAAATCAAGGTTGGATAAGAGCTACTAAAATATGGTTACCTACAAGGAATAAGTTCTAATGCTCTACAGCACAGTAGTGTGACTGTAGTTCATGATAATCTATTATATGATTTATAAGGAACTAGAAGAGAGGTGTTTGAAGACTCCTATCACAAAGAAATGGTAAATGTTAAAAAGATGGAAATTTCTCTGATTTGATCATTGCACACTGTATTCATGTTTTAGATTATCATACTGTAACCATAAATATGTGACATTATTGTATTTCTTATGTTTTCTCCTATGAGAACTAGTCATCTAATATTGACTCACTCAATGATGTTTCCATTGGTGTTGATGAAGTTGCTATAATTTCGTGAACTCATACTATACTTTATTACGTTGCACTGCTCAATGGCCTTCTATTTGATACTATGATGACATTGGTAGCAAGTAACCACTGATCTGCTCTTAGTCCACATCTGGAAATGCCTGGGCCAGCTGATTTTTCACTGTAAAAATTTGACTTAGTAGATATGCTTGTCCCATTTTGCACTCAACTCTATGGACTTGGCTGTGGTTTTCCTAATAATCCATGTTTGTGATTTTTGAAACTTTTTATATGCTTATCAGAATTACTCCACTGGCATTTTCAAACCGCCCATGTAGCTCTGCTGTCTTGTAATTTCTTTGGTGGACTATGAGCTCTTGTAAGAATGTCTACAGGTGTGAAGCACCATTACATTATATTTTGCTATCAAAATGTGTGAGTGGGGTCAGAGAACCAAAAGGCTAGGGACACACTATCCTGTTATTGTAAATCTTTGCTCTGTAACTAGCACAGAGTTGTCCAAATGGACTACACTACCCATTTCTCTTATTTAATTTTTTAAGAACAATAGGTAATAAAATCCATATAAGTTGAATTATTGTTTGATATTTGTGGTCACAACTAGTGATGTTCTAGTTGACATAATTGACTTCCTGATCACCCTCTGTATTACTCAGTTTTGCATTGCTACAACAAAATACCTGAGGCAGACTGACTTTATAAAGAAAAGGTTTATTTAGCTTACAGTTTTGGAGGCTGAAAGTACAAACAGCAGGGTTCAAGCTCTGTGGAAGGCCCCTGGCAGATGGAGTGGCCTGAGATCTGGATGTAAACTCTGCCAAGCCCTCAGCAATGGCTTTGGTTTGGAAATTGTCCTTACACTTGTTTTTCTTGCACCATGTTTCTCTTGAACTTATCTTGATAGCTGATGAAAAACTCCAGTCAAGACATAAACTACAGGAAGTTGTAGTTACAGATAGGGAATAGGGAATTCATGTCTGTGCTTTGTCAAGGTGATACATTTAGTAAAGAGCAGAGTACCACCAAAGGAATGGACAATGAGGCAAGGGATATGTCCCACTTAGATTTTCCATTTGGGGGATCAAGAAGTATGTTTGTGTCAGACATTATGGATATTGTGTGATGTAAAGGGAATAATGAAGCTGAGACCACCCTACTCTTTGCTCCCTGTGAAACCCTAAACTTATTCCCAAACCCAAACCTTCCTCTTGGTTTCTAGAAATTTCCCAGGGCCCTTCCTTCCCATTACTCACTCTCTCACACTGGACTCCTGGTTTCCCAAATAATGCAGTAAGCCCCAGATTTCACACACATCCACTGGGAACACACCTCTCTCATGTTCTCGGTCCAGGACCTTCTTTTATAGGCTATATTTCCATAATATAAATTTATCATATTTATTTGAACAATTATAGCTTGGTTCCTTTTTCTATATGCTCAATGTCCCCTGGTTACTTCCTAACTTTTGCTACTCCCTCAGCCACATCTTTTGCTGACATCTCTGAACATATCTATGTGCAAGTGCAAATGCTTTTTCCACCAGCTCCTTGCTTGTTTGTCATTTCTGTACAGCCTCTGACCATGCTGGCCACCACATCATCCTGGTACCTGCTACCCGGGGCCTTCCAGAAATTGATTTTACCTAAGTTCTGTGAAATTTGGGGCAATGTTTTATTGGTTTCTACATAACAATTTAAATATATTTAAATTCATTTGTAAATACTAGAATAGACAATAATTTTCAGTTTGTGTTATCCATGCATACCTGCCACAGTTTTGTTATTAAATATTTAATGACATAAAAAAGTGCATGTCATTCACACTTTACCTAATTTCATGCTTAATCATGCTTTCATTCTTACATAACAATGATCTGCACTATTGTCTTGCAAGTGTCTGCACTGGACATTGACACAATGTGGGGAATTCTTAGCATTAGAAACTCCAAGCAGATTCCAACTTGTGGATCCTTCAGCTTTCTAGAAATGCACAGAACCTTAGCTTTGGAAAGGGAAATACCTATGCTGGTCTTGATTGATTCCTTTGAGTGAGAAGGATGCAGCACTGTGCATGAGATTTTTAATCCCTTGAGTCAAGCATCTTTATTCATTTAGCATCCCCCAGAGTGACTTGAGCAGGAAGAACATTCACCCAAACACTTATTGATTTGCAGTTTCTGTGAGGACATTGCCATCTTTGGCAATCAGTTTCTGCTGTGCAATGCAGACTTGATACACTACCCATTTCTCTTATTTAATTTTTCAAGAACAATAGGTAATAAAATCCATATAAGTTGAATTATTGCTTGATATTTGTGGTCACAACCAATGATGTTCTAGTTGACATAATTGACTTCCTGATCACCCTCTGTATTACTCAGTTTTGCATTGCTACAACAAAATACCTGAGGCAGACTGACTTTATAAAGAAAAGGTTTATTTAGCTTACAGTTTTGGAGGCTGAAAGTACAAACAGCAGGGTTCAAGCTCTGTGGAAGGCCCCTGGCAGATGGAGGGGTGCATGAAGTGGGAGGGATTGCATCTCGAAACAGGAAGCAGAGAGATCTGGGTGGACCAGGCTGTGGCTCTTGTGACAACACTTTCATTGTCTCCAGATGATCCACTGGGCCCCATCTCTTAAAGGTTTCATTGCCTCCCAATATTGCCACCCTAGGTACAAAGCTCCAACACACAGACCTTTGGGGGACAAACAGGACCCAAACCACATCATCCTCCACAGCCTCAAGAGTCTCAGGATGAGGCTGATGGAGTGGCTCAAGTGGTAGAGCACCCGCCTTGCAAGCGTGAGGCCCTGAATTCAAACCACAGAACTTCCAAACAACAACAAAAAACAAACAAAAAACCAAAAAGGAGTCTCAGGATGCACTCTTTTAGAATGCACTCCTTTAGCAATGTTGGAGGTCTGCGCTTTGTTCATTTCCTTACTACGCTATGATCTGTCAGCACTTCTGGTAGAAATTTTTAGTTAGAGCTCCAAGATAAATCTGGAAAGTGCTAGCACAATGCAGCACTGAGCAAATTCAGTAAAGAGGGCCCTTCTGGACCAGAATGGGTAAAGTAGGTCAATTTTGCTTCTGGTGATCTCTTTCTTCCCTTTCAGAAGTGTTTGTCTCATAAGTAATATTCCTTCATCCCTGTTTTGCCCAGAGCACTCTTGAGTTTGCCATTACAAAAGACATATTTGGTGGTTAAAGCTGACTTGTGAAGAAGGTATAGAGGACTGGTTGGGGTCCATAATACACCCTAAGAAGTGGCAGAAGCAAAGTAACTTTTCCTTGTTCCCAGTTTTCAGATGCCACACCTTAGCAGTTGGGAGCATTCTTTCTCTGGTCTTCAACATCCCCTAGGAGCTTGCCCTTAGCTTTCCTTGGCTTTGATAAACCTTCCCTTCTGGGCCACATATTCAGCATGACCAGCAGAGGTGACTGCTTTTGGGAGAATTATCAGAACATGGTGATATGAGTAACACCAGCCAATCTTAAGACCCATTATTTCCAGGGGCCTGGACTCATTCTTGGTGTATTGACATCTCACTACTTATTTTGAAAAACCATATCATGTAAAATGAATATGAAGCAGTAACCTAGGAATCATAAGGCTTGTGTGCACAGATAAACTATCTCTATTATAATGAGCTTCTGGTTCTAAGATCAGCTAACCACTTAGTAATATAAATGTCCAGGATGATTGCAGAAGATGTTGTTTGTGAAGATTTTCTTCTTCTTACCCTCTAAACTCAAGTAAAGTTATGTAAGTCAGGGACAGAATTTGACAAAGACTATAAATCTCATTAGTTTTTGTTTAGATTGTGGTAACCTATCTTTCAGAAGAGAATCCTTGCTTCCATCTATAGGTTGATTTTCCTGCTGTCAGGTGTCCTAAGCTTCACTTTTAAAATTTATTTCTTATTGTACTTTAAAAGATTAATCCTTTTTATTACTCTCTCTTATTCTTTCCCTGCTACCCCCATTATTCAATAGCTCTCAGTGGGTTTAATGATGCCATCTTCCTCCACAGATGCAATGTGTTTCAATATCATTCACTTCCTATCATTCATTTTTCCTCTCCTGCCTCCCCAGTACCCTCAAACAGATCATATGTTTGTGTTTGTGCGTACATTTATCTTTTGGATCTATCTTCCACATATGAAAGTAAACATGCAACCATTTTCTTTGTGAACCTGGTTTACTTCACTTAATATGATGATCATTATTTCCATCCATTTACCTGTGAACAACATAATTTCATTCTTCTTTATGGCTGAATAATAGTCCATTGTGTACATATACTACATTTTCTTTATTCATTCATCAATTTTAGGACATCTGGGCTGTTTCCATAGCTTGGCCATTGTGGATAGTCCTGCAATAAATGTGGAGGTGTAAGTGTCTCTATTGTATCCTGACTTACATTCCTTTGAGTATACACTGGACATCATTACTAAACTTTACTTTCTCAAAATGCACAAAATATTTCTGATTATTATTATTATTATTTTACCACTATACTTTTGCTCATGCTTTCTTTCCTGATATTGTGATAGCCTGAGAAGGCAGGCAATTGGCTCACCTTCAGAGCACCATGGTGCTTGAAGGAGAACTGGGATTAGGGAGCTGCTTTTACTAGCATCCTGGGATGCAGAATTAGGGTGAGATGATAGTAACTAGTGCCCTGGAATTTTGGTGCATATTCCAGGAGGACTCAGCCACTGACTGATAAGGCCCCTGGGAGCAATTCCTATCTGAAAACAAGCCTCTGTCTAAATGCCTGCTGTAGCAGACTCAGCCACTTTGGGACCTGACTGTGCTTGCTCTGAGGTATCAAAGGTCAGAACTATGAGGGCTGCCACAAAAGACTCCCTTCCTGCCTACCTGAGCTACTTAAATTTAACTTTTGTGTTTGGAACTAGGCTCAGTGAAATCTTTTAACATTTGGAGACTTCCTTTGATTTCCAATCCTGTGCTGCCTAATGTGTCTGGGTTAAAAACACAATGGCTTCTTCCCCTCAAAAAGAAATACATACTCAGAAAAGACCTTGACATCTAGTCTTTTTTTCTTTCTTCCTTTTTTTTTGTGGTGCTGAGGGCCTGTGCATGCTATCCAAGTGAGTGCTCTACCACTGAGCTACATCCCAGCCCTGGAATGATTTCTTATATTTAATTTAACCTAAATCTTATGTGGTTACAGAATAAAGTACTTATGTGCTATGGAGTCCTGTAAATGGGACTGTCAAATGTTCTCATTCTGCCTCCATTTGGTATCCCTTTGGCAATTGTTACTATGGCTTTATGTGTGTATACATGAGAACACTCCAAAAAAATAAAATTTGTATACCTTTCTAAAGGTAGAGAGAGAAGAAGATAGTAAACTGGAAATCCTCAAGGTGGGAAGGCCTATGTTGTTTAAGTTTTCTAATATTTCCCAAGTCCTCAGCTCAATTACGAATGAGCTGGAGAAGCATTAGAATGTTATTTCACCTCTCTTTTTTTGTGGTGCTAGGGTTTGAACTCAGGGCTACATCTTTGCTAGACAGGTGCTCTACCACTTGAACCACACTCCCAGATTCCTCCTTTTTAACACTGTAGCTTTGCATAAGAGGACGGCCTAGTACCACCTGTTGCCCTCTTCTTTGATTTTGTTATGGGTGAACTGTCAAGTAAATTAGCAGTAACAACAATATGAAGAACACATATGGTTCTGAGATGAAAATTTATCTGCACACCAAATGCATAGTTTGGTACTATTTATGTATCTACAGTTTTTGTCTCTACATGAAGAATCAGAAGTCATCAGCATCCTTGCTCCTATCTGCTTTCCATTTATCTCCACCTTGCTCATTTGATTATGTAAAAAATATTTGGGACTAGGTGCTGTGAAAAACTCCTCTTGTCTCCCAAACAATAAGAGCACCTACCAACTGGTCACAGGGACAGTAAGAGAGTAAGATTAAGGAATAA